CCGGAAAACCTAAATTTAAGTGAAAGCTTTTGGCCAAAACGTAAGAAAAACGAGTAATACTAATTTAATTTACGCACGGAAATTACCTGTGTGCTGGAGGTTTTTATCATTTTTACTAATAGACATCTGAACAACAACACGAGATTTCCTTAAATCATGGAATCAGTTATTTCTCCCATACCTGATAATTTAGTTAGAACGGATCTCTGAAGCTAGGGCACGTTAATCCATTTTTAAAATCATTCAGTGCTGTTGGATACAAGAGTTCGTAATTTTTTTTTCAATAACAACATCAATTCCAACAAACAACAGGTCATAAATCACGAAATCTTGTCGTGAGAAAAAATTTCCAGTGATAAATCCCTTGTCACATTTAACCGACAAAGGCATCTTCACATATAAATTTAACTACACGCTTCACAGAAGCTGACAGACCATATATTTTTATTGTAAAAATAGATTCCCATCAGGTGCCAAAACGGTACTTTGAATGCTTTATCACGAAACTTGGAGTCCCGGTTAACGCTGTCAGACGAGTGTGCCACAGAGGTCAACCATGTTACCAGAGTGCCACTCTAAAAGTATCGTACAAACTGTTCTGCTTGGAGCAACTAGTAAGTGCCTTGGAGGAGCAACCACTTGTGAGCCTGCAGCGACAACTCCTTTTCGAGGGAAACGAAATCTGCAGTAATCAAGGGGATCTTTCTGCAGAGGACGAAATTGCTCGCGCAAAGGCAAGAGTCCATACACCTGCAGGAAAGAAAAAAAGACCATCTTCTAAGTCCTTATTGCAAGTCGGGCTTGGTGAGGGACGTGCAACTAGAGAGGTAGAAATTATATGGTGGCCAAATGTATATACTGTGACAGAGCACGGCCAAATGATTATCCGAATGTATATACAGAAATGTGATTTTTAAACGTGAAATATTTAAAAACCTATTTACTCCCAGACAATTGGAAAAGATCATAATTATTCTTAAAAGCTCAATTTTACTGATCAAACTAATGGTGAAACGCAAAAGTATCAGAATGGACTTAGTTACACTGCAGGATTTGCTCTTCTTACCCAAAAGGTTAATGTGGAAGAATATCACACGTCTTTTCCTTAAATTTGGGTCTGGGAGTGAAATGTCTCACATAATTATGCTACAGTTATT